TTCGGCGGATATCTCGCAGGGTTTCGCCGCCTGCCGTTCTCACTTTAACCGTGCGTACGAGCCCATCCTCTTCCGGAAGGCGTTCTTCGATGATCTCCAGGGGCCATTCATCCCGCCGCAGTCGTTCATCTGCAAGCAATACTATGTCGCCAACTCGAAATTTTCTTTCTCTGATTAACCATTTCTGGCGTGCCTGTAGGGTAGGCAAGTACTCTCGGACCCACCGCTACCAGAAAACTCCCGCTAGGTAGGTCGCCTGCCTCGAACTGCTCGAGTAATATTTCGTTAGCGTTCGTTGTACTGTCAGTCCGTTATTCGGTCTCAAAGCATTAAATCGTTCGGTGTAAGTGCAAGACCCGGGGCTTCACTCGCGACAGGTGTCAAGGGCCTATTGTTTCTTTCGATGGGATGACAACTGGGCACTGAATGGTTCACTTAGCGCAAGGTTGACGGAGTACACAATGGTAGAGACAGCCGACAAGATGGAGACAGGTTCACACACCTGGACTACTAGACTTAGTACTCACCAAAAGCCAGAATGAAGTGCACGGTCTTCAATTTACGATGCCACTGGGTATGAGTGCCCATCAGGTGATCCGGTTCACATACCGGGTTCACCTACAACCTCAACCTCACAAGCTCTAACGGTAATCCGAACAACGTTCAATACGAATAGCAATGTCCGGACTTCGACTGACCAAATTTTCATCACGGAGGAAAACAGTTGAACGACCGTTGAAAGTTCGTTTCTATTATAGGCATACATCAATACATATTTGCGACTTACGAAACCGTCGTAGATCCCAGTTACAGAAAGACAAACAATTGAGAAAATCACGGAACGAGACCGCATAGATACCGGGCGAGTAATGAGGAGGGCGGTTAAAACAACTGTTAAATGTTGGGTTGATAAAGAAGAAGGAAGAGATAAGAAAAGGAAGATAATGGAATTAGAAAAGTATTGTGTACAAAAGATTTCTAAAACCGTCACACAGCCCGCTAATCGCGCAGCGATTTCTT